ACACACACACACACACACACACACACACACACACACACACACACACACACACACACACACACACACACACACACACACACACACACACACACGGGCACTATTATCACTGTCCTGAGATAATATTGCTCATGTATATTACTCACTACTCGCGACTCTTCTGTATCACATTTACTGATGATCTACATTCCTATCTCGCGGATGCTGACCAGAGGTCCGGCACAGCTCCTCTCGTGAGCCTACGAGAGGTCGTGACGAGGCACCCCGTGCACCCTCGCGCAGCACGAGCGCGAGGGTTGATCGAGCGATTAGCGTGCCACGCGGGATGGATGCATCACGCTAACACCACGTTGCTGGCTGCCACTGCAATCGGCAGCACCCTCGACGAGCACGCACGCACACATATACATACAAACACGGTGGCGCGCACCCCCGACGGAGGGATGTCGCGTGCGCGGGTACTAGCGATCGCCCGAGTACTGGGGTAGCGTCGCGAAGCGGACAGGGTTGGTGGCGGGCAGGTAGCCGATCTGGCAGGGATGCGTTCAGCCCTACCCCTTCCTGCCGACGCCGCTACCACCACCAGTACCACCGACGTCGGCGCCGTCGTCACGCCGACGGGCGACTCTTCTCCCTTCTCCCGGCCGGAGCTGGACTTTAAGGGTGCCAACGAACCGAGATGTTTATCCTTTAAAGTCCTTACTAGCTTACTCACACACATTTTTTTATTCTGCACGCGAACGCACCAGTTTCAGCGACTTCGAACGTAGGTTTGCGTGCTAATTAATTTAACAAGGGGTATATCGCACGTTCCGCAAATTGCGCAGTCTCTCTCTTTCGCCCCGGATTAGACATATTCAAAGCCGAACTAAAAAGGATGGCAGTTCTTAAAATATCCATGAATCAATAGCTTTTACAGTATAAAAAGCTCTCAAGTATTGCATTTTAATAATGCGAAAGGAGATTTATATGTACAATTAATAATATTAATTAAATTTCAAATGGATTTTATAGCATATAACAAAACTTTAATTTGCAGCTTAATTATCAATATATAACATACTTATTGTCCTGCTATTAGTGAGTGGCGTTAATGTTCGAAATTAAAATGATTGGCCTTTAATTACTCCCGAAATGGTAAACTGCATGTCGGCAAACCGCAAATTGCCGGCGTTAATTTTGAATAGACTATCGTATAATTATGTGAAACTGTCCGTTACACAGTTTTCGCAGAGGAAAAGCCGACTTTGCGGAGGCATCTGGGCCCTGTGTTAAACCGGGCTTATCGAGGTATAAATCATTTTATTACTTGCTGCAACGGCGCAGTTATGGGGTTACGTTATAAAGATAGATCGTGGTACTCGTACCAGACAAATCTGAAATTCTATATTTTAACAACGTCGTCACGTGTTAATGCGCACTCTTAATGCTAATGTAAAAAAATCAAGATTGAATGAATCTCGAATATTGAATCGCGAAATTAAAAAATTACACGCCGGTAACGATCGTGCGAGGTACCAGAAATCTTGCTCCGCTTTTCTTCATTACCGCCCCTCTCTTGGAGAATTGGAGCGAATTGTGGCCGTCATTCCTACACAAATCGCCAGGCGTGCTTCTCGCTAGTTTGATTAAACCGAAGAGAAAGACCGAGAGATCGCCGAGAGAACCCTCGGGCTGGTCTCGTCTTTGTTAAAATGTAGAGACAAAACTCTCTCGCAGATTCTTGTCGCCGTCCACTCGTTTTGGAAAAGTTCCAATAAGGCTCTCGTCTTCATGCGCGGAAATGCGTTCGCCTTACATCTCGTGGCAGCTCGCCTTTGCGCCAAAGTGGGAATCGAAATCCAGTAGCAATAAGCAGTTGAGCTCCATATAGTTCCCCCGATGCAATATCGCTTTCTCGGATAAAAATCTAGCGATCGAATTTATAACCCGTGACAGCGAAAGCGTCGAAATAAATTTCATCGATCGACCTGTAGCTTCTCAGTAGCTCAATGAAGGCGCCCCGCCGAAAAAAAGCCCCTTCCACCAGAAGAAGCCCTTATATATCATCTTCCCTATTGACCGTTCCTAAACCGCCCACGCGAGATAAGACGATTAGCACGTACGCCATTATCTGGAAACGCGCCGAAGAATCTTGCTGGAATCAGAAACGTTCCTCTGGGACGTCGGTGCAAACTGCATACAAAAAGGGAGCGTACGTGCATGGCTTCAAAAGTGAGATTTTTTTTCTTTAAAATAAAATTATTTTATCAAATTAATGTTATTGCAGTTTTGTATAACTTTTAAAGATTATTTTTGAAGTGCATAACTTTTTTAAGTATTAATCTCGTAAATTTTACGTCACCTCATATTTTTTCGAAAATTTTAATAACGTATTATCTTTGTTGTTTGCCGAAAGATAACGTATCGAAAACAATAAAATAGAATTTTAGCGCTACCTACCTTTTTTCTACCTTAATACAATTCTCTGTTTCCTATTAACATTCACTGATGCTTGAAAGGCAGGTATATTTATAGGTTTCGCAAGAATAACTTTATCTATTCCGCGCGAGTGAAGATTTCCTTTTCTTTACCAGAAGATAATAAACTTGCTTATTGAATTGACTCGAACCGAAGGCCATTGTCAGAAATATACGACGAGCTCAAACAAGTTAAATGAGCAGTTGTTAGTCAAGCATAAATACATTTGTATAAATATTTGAAAATAATAAGAGATTATTTTAAACGATTAAGACGATACAAAAACGTATAAAATTATACGTTTATCTATTACGCAATATTAAATTGTAATTATATGTCATTTAGAAGGTTATACCATTAATTATTCGATGAGATTGGTCCCATTTCGTCCGAACTGACAAGATTAATTTCTTCTACAGCATCTTCTCTCTCCTACAACAAAATACAAATTTAAACAATACATTCTAAATTTATATCTATGAAATCTAACTTTATTTTGCTTGTAATAAGAAGAATAATTTTATTTTGTTTGCTGTTTTTTTTTTCAATAATAAATTTTGTAATTTTTAATTTTTAAATATATCTATTTCAATTTTTCAATTACCATTAATTGTAATCATGATACACCAGTCAAGTTAATAAATTAATTTTTTTAGCTTGCATTTTTGCCAAGGAGACAATTCGACCTGCGACATAAGCCGAGAGTAGGGCGAAATCAATTTTCGTCCTTCTTGTAGGGCGTGGTTTTGATAGCTCCTGAGAGCCATCTTATCACGCGAGAACTTTCAGCCGCAAATCAGATTTCGGCGTCTTGCAGGATGGAATTTGATATAAGCCGCGATGATAAAGTACGCCGTTTATCCCGAACCTCTATCATCGCGAATATAAAAATTTCACGTCTAAGATCTAGACGTATGAGAGAGGCCCGCGACAGAGAAAGAGAGAGCGAATGAAATCGGGAGAGACGTACCTCCCGAAATGTTGCACGACGGGCGAGATAACGATGACGCTCTTTCTCGGGAAAGGTGATCGATACGGGCCACGGGAACGTCGGGTCCTCCTTGCCGTCGCTTAATTTTAGAAACAACGAGGCCGCAATCACGAACGGCAGCGTCAACACCGGTAACTGCGTTTGAAACAAGATCATAAAAGTCGGCGAGGCATTGCGAATTGATGGAGGGAAAAACTTCAAGTTCACTTCAAGTTCACCTTTCCGAACACCGAATGTAAGGCGTACTGCAAAAGCGGGGTGTAAATGATCGCCATGATAGCGGCGGCGGCCGTTTGACCGTTCAGCACCAACAGATTTCCTCCCAGAGCAGCCCCGGTCAGAAAGCTGTTGTATCCCCATAACCCGCTGTAGGCCGTGTGTCTGTCCGCTCCGAGCTCCAGGCCTAACGGCAAATTTATCGCAACGATAACTCCTCGTCTTCACGCTTTTCTCTCTCGAAACGGGCGCTTTGCTTTCAGCCCCCAAGAGAACGTTCACGTTGACAAGCTTAATCGCTCTGATCCATTAAACATACACTCGATTGTGTAACAGGATCAATAACTCTCTCATATCTCTTCTCCTCTCTCTCTATCCTCCCACATCTTCTGTTTTTTGCGTTACATAAATTAACTTGTATACTTTTTAATTCGCGTATAAATATTGCTCGCGTGAAAATTAAAGTTTGAGTACCTGCAAAAGTTCCGCAGAAAGCGCCGAAAAATGAAAACGCGGCTGTCGTAGGGGAGTATATTAGCGATGCCAAATACATGATGGATCCAACCATCACATTATCGACGGCGAAAAGCTGCGACGCGGAGACGACGCTGCCTCGTACAACCTGAAACACGATTTAACTTTGAGCGCAAGCACAAATAGATTTATATCTTCATTCATATACCTCTCGCAGCGCATTCCTCGAGCAACAGAAGTAAAGATATATTTATTCTCTTTTACTTTTTGTACGTCTCGCAAACACGATTATTCCGATAACGGCTACGAAAGGGATTTTTTCGTCAGCGAATCGTTCTCGATATCGCACAATAGTCGATAAATCTAAATTGAAAAGCATCTTAGTGACCATATCGATGTATGGAAAATTCGATGTAGCGTAATTAATGATGCAAACGAAGATAAAGATTGAAAGTTTGCTGAAAAAACGCGTTGCGCAATAAAATTCGATCGTAACGTATAAGTATAATAAGCTTGCAATTTAAAAAAGTAATCGGATTCTGAGTAAGAAACTGTGTAACTAATGAAGCCCTTCGGGCAGTACTTGCCAAGATCCCTGGAGATGATAATATATGCAAAGACAAGAATATAAAGTTACAAAAAGTGGAACACGAGTAAACTCTACCTTTCCCCAGTCGATGTAAACGTTAGTCGTATTCTGCTCGTAGAAACCGGCGCCGTTCGTCGTCGTCGTCGTCGTCGTCGTCGTCGTCGTCGTCTCACTTGTTGCATTGTGCTGAAAACAATGAGAGAGTCTTGCACAATAACCCGCGCATGATAGAGAAATGCGCGCGGCAGTCACTCGGCGAGTCCAGAGAAGGTTCAAACTATTTTATGATGAAATATGCTTTACGGGGAAGTAATTTATGTTCCCGCCTCGCGCGCCTCGAGTTCAGCCGTAAATTTTTCTAACGCGGGAAAGAAACTTTACGCAGGAGACAATAAGAAAGACAATATACCCTTTTTCCACGCAGCTGCGATTTTTACAAATTTTCTCGGCTCGCAGGCAAATGTTCCTCGTACGCGGGAATTGTGAAAAGTTTAACTAGGCGAGTGCAAAGTTAATTTTTCGCGTTATCGTGAGAGTACCGGGCGACTAGCGTAGCACTAAGAAATAATGGCATGCTCGCTCGACATGCACGGAACTTAATATATATATTTACATATACGCAAAGGGAAGCTCACCCAACTGAGCAATATTTTCAAATATTCTGCTGTTGCAGCGTGTTGCTTGCCAACGGAAAAACGCTCGCGAAAAAGAGAAATGCGGAGAGAACTTGCCCAATATTTAACTGAAACAAACAACCGGCGACTAGTTAGGGTGAGATAAATCCGAGCCGAGGTAAGTTATCGTCGGCGGAGTTGTTCGTGCCTGAGTTTGATCAATACAGAGAAAAGCCATGCTCCGACCCACGGAGGATAGCATTCTCCCTCGTGAAGGCACGTCAAATATGTATGGTCTGAATACTGAGAGAGCCAAGCGAATTTTATTCCGCGCCGAAGCCTCCGTCTTATTCTCGTTAAATTTACTCTCATCCAGCACCGATACTCCAAAATTATGATTTTAATTAACTCAATCGTTCAACTCAGTCTTAACAATAAAACATTCAATAAAACATATTTTGGTGTCTCACAAATCTTACATAACAAAAATCTCTTCTTATCATCAAATTACATGTGTATTTAAGAAAATTATTATCAAATAAATTTTATATATTTTTGTTTTAATAGTTTTAAACGAAAAAGTATTGTTGTTGTTATTGTTATTATTATTATTATTATTATTATTATTATTATTATTAATATTATTATTATTATAAGATTTTGATACATTTATTTGCTCTTTGTAAATGTTTCATTATATTTTTATTTGATTTCACTTGACTAAATTCACAGTAACGCCGCGTAATGATATGCGTGCACGTTTTAATAATTGAAAATATTACGTACGTAAAATTAATTTACCATTGCAAACATTGGCTCCGCGGATGTGGCCACCATGTCCATGCCATTCTGCGTCGAGAGGGCGAAAATCAACGCGAACTCCGCCAAGTTAAATGGCCACGTTGTGCACGAGAATTTATCGCTTCTCAGGGACCGCGAGAGATAAACACTGGAAAACATTAACCGGGAGCTGTTGAAATTTGCGAAACGTTACCAGCCAGCCAACCGGCATAAATGACGAGTGAACTCCAGCTAACTCCGGTAATCCGGTTTGCCGCATAATCTACGGTCGCGAATTATTCCAGATATCTTACTTGAAATCTCAAGCCGGAAACTGTCACGATGCGTTTCGCGTTAGTTTCTATACGTTCATCCAGCTTCGAGTTGTCAAAACTCATAATATTACTCGTAACGCTAAATTCATAAAGTTCCGACTTGAGGCATTATGCGCGCAACTATGCTTATATTAATATACGAGTTATTCCCTCTGACAGTGCAACATGATTATAAACATCAATTTGAATTAATTTGCATATATTTTAACTTAATTAAACGTCGGCATCGCTATCAAGATGGTATTGATAAATATAAATTATTTATTGTTTATAATAAAGAGATTATTAAGATCCAAGATTATTTTATACAACACATCTCTACATACGTCTCGGATCGACGCTACGTGTTTATCTTTACTGAATTCCCAGAAGCGTATTTATCTGAAAGTGTTTATTACCTCCATCGTTATGAACTTCCACGTAATTCATTAATCGCACGATTTACTATAATTGAGGTATCACATGGTCGGCTTGTTATTCGCATCGTGGTATTTTGCAAATCTGTTTTGTGGCATGTGAGATAATCGGATATACCTGATTATTGTCGCTAAAAGCACAAGCAGGAGGCTGAAGGAGTCGAAACCTCCGTAAATCTCCGGTATCAGACTGTATGACATTGCGCCGACCAACAAGGGATTGTATACGCTTAATCCATTGTCCACGATGTCGTCGGGTTCTCGTATGAGCTGCAAAAGAATCGGAAGGTTCTCGGATAAAGGAAAAATCGCGAGGTGAGGAACGTGGCGAGCATTCCGCGTTGAAACCCTCCTCGGGGTCGCTGCCAGGCGAAAAAACGGTGCCGCATTGCAGTGATTTTTCGCGGTGTGCATGCAAACGGTCCATTAGGTCCGAAAGAGATGAAAAAGAGATAGCCAGCATTCGTCACGATGCCTCGTCGCGTATGAATAGCGATGTAGGTAGAAACGAGCATCCGTCTCTCGGCGGCGCAATGCGACAAAAAGTGTATTGCATCTTTTTGGCAAAACCGACCGCTTGACACTGCAGCTAATAATTAATAAAACATACCACGGACAGTACGAGGCCAAGGCCGGCGGTGGCTGCAGACAACGCCAATGTACCTGGCGATACCACACCCAAGGTAACTATTATCAGCAGCCCGCTCAGGGGATTATTCGCAAAAACAATCTGCAACGTTAATTAAAGACAATCGACGTTAATTAAAGATATATGAAATGATACGATTCCGTGTGCAGCGTGACGGGAAAGTAATTCTTACTTATAACAAATATCGGATTCTTTTTGCGCGGGGAATCATGTTCGGCACAACTTTCAGAAGACAACATTAACAGCGAAATAATAAGATGTCTTCACCAAGAAATAGTAATTTCTTTATTAAAGATATAATGAAAGAAAAATTTCTGCGTTGCTTTATCGAACCAATATAAAAATGTGTAACTATTTCTTCACAAGTTTTTTTTTTCACAGATAAGTATAAATTATGCATATCCTTTTATTATGTCAGTTATTATATATAATGTTAGATTTTATCACTCACCTGTCCGAATCCACGCAGAAAAGCCTCAAATAATTGCACTGCCTGCCAAATCGGCCGCCTCTTACGCGCAAAGAATTCCTTCAAAATCCCAAAATCACCTATGCACGGTACCCATGTTTTTTCCTGTTGAATTTTTTACACATATTTTTTATACATATAAAAATTTCTTACATATAGGTTTTCTAAACAAAGTAAACTTTTTCACGAGAAATTTTAATAAAAAATAATTTCTTGCAATATTCTTCTTTACTAAAGTTTCAATTCAAATTGACTATCAAATTCTACAATTAAAAATGCTTAGAGACAATATAAATTTCATTTAAATACGAATATATTCTCAAGCAGGCAAAAAATTACTAATTTATGTTAAAATAAATATAAATGTATCGTGAAGAAAAAAGTATAAAGTTATGTTCGCGATAAAAACAATCTGTAATATTTTCTGAAGTTACATTAAACATACGAACAAAAATTATCAGGAGATATCTATGATAAATCTAGACATTTTGCACTTTACATTCAAATGTTATAATAAATATCAAGTAATGCTCACTTGTCGCAAATTTGCTACTGGTAACTCTTTCACAGACATCATCGCGTCAGCAAATAGTCAGCAAGGAAAATTACATGTGGGTAATTACATGTGATTCTGTTATCGTAATAACAGAATACTCCCACCCACGGAGTTAGTAGCAGTGGTAGCATACTTTGTATACATTTAAACAGCAATAAAAGCACGTGCTATATTTCCGAACATACTATATATCGCACTAAAACTGCAAACACTGATAAATGTACAACAGAAGTAGCACAGTCTGTCGATTATATGCGCAAATTACTATAAATAATTAAATTTCAATACAAATCTTGCGATAAGATAATAATTCACGAAATTTTATTGACTTATTACAAAAATGTCTTTATAATAAATGTGTGATTTTTGGAATATAAAAATTCTTTAAATTTAAAATAAATTGATTTTTCTAAAAACATTTCTTTTGAAACTGTAGCTGCAAGTTAAAACGATGTCCGAACAGAGACTGAAGCTACAACTATTTCAACGTTCAATCTAGAGCAGGTTTTACTTTCTAACGCGTACATTAAAACATGTGATAATTAGCACAATTTGCACTACTATAATTATCTATACCCTTGTAGTAGATACAATTACAGATTAAATCGCTTTTTTATAAAATGGATTATGATCCGTATATGATACGCTTTGGGATTAACAAATACTAATTATTACATTCTGATCCTTGCAAAAAAAAAGGAAATAGAACATAAAAATAGATCTGTTTTTGTCAATAAAGATATGCTCATATCTTGACACGTTATAATTAGATTGGTTTATTTGCTTTATATATGAGTAATACTAAATATGAAGTCATAGCACACAAGTTGTTTAGCTTCCCATGTTGAGATATTTAAATGGATTATAAGGAATAAATTAATGCTTTAATAATATTATAAAAATGTGTTTTTATCATCGTCACAATAGTTGAAAATAATTCTGTAAAGTTTATAACATTTACAGGATTCAGATTAAAAAAATACGATCAATACATTAAATAAAAGACTAAAATTCTAAAACGTATCTTTTTTTTATAAAATAATAATTCGTTTTTTCTTTCACTTGAAGGCACTTCATCGCAGTATAATATACTGAATGTGTAAAATTATATATCCATAACGTAATTGGGATGAACGACGAGTAAAGGATCCTCTTCTTCTTCACCTTCACCTCTGCTTTTCAAGCTGGTTGTTGTTAAAGGTATTATAATTTGATCCTAGAAGTAAAATTGTAATACAATAATAAATTATTGTAAATTACAAATATACCAGCAATAAAATACACGAAGATAGATACATACATGGTACGTCAGTCTATCAATAATCTTCTCAATAAAATTTTTCCGTTCTAGTAACTCTTCTTCTGAATCTAGTTGATCTTGTATTTGATCAAGATACCATGCAATTAATTCGGATTTCCGTATGCCGCCTTTATTGTCATCTATTAAGAAATATTCCAATTTCAACAAATTTGATAATAAAGTAATAATAATCCTTTTTTTAATTTTATATTAATATAATAATAAAAATACCTTCGCTCTCAACACGATTTTCCTCGCTTCTCATATAAAGAACTAACATGTTCGATAGATTTTTATACTCCTCAAAAGACATAGTTAATTTTTTCTTTGGCGGTTCGCGCATTCCGTTGGATGCTAAACAATTAATAAAAATAAAACGTACAAAATATATATATATATATATATATAATATGTAAAAATAACAAGAGTATTACGTGCATTATATATACAAAAAAATCATAGACATACGTGTTGAAGGCGGTGCGTCATCGCCGTTTCTTGCAGTAAATGCCGCCATAAGCGGTGGTGGCTCATCGACATCCATTCCCAAGTTTGCATCATTACCTTCTTCGAGATCTACATCAGGTTGTTCTACTGTAATTATACTTTTTTGTAACAACCGTTTTGCCTCTTTAATATGTTTCACTGTCACCTTATCCATGCATTCTATCTTTGCCAATGCTTCAGATAATCTAATCATGCTCTCTAATTGCCTCACAGTGACTCTCCATTTGCCACTTCCGCTACCTGTTCTCTGTCTGAGAATTGTGTAATTTTCAACTAAAAGCTCAGCAGCTTCCTACAAAAATTTCATAAAATTGAATGATGCAACTTTGATATATATTTCCAAATAGTCTTCTATTATAGACTCACCTCACTTAAAATAGGTTTAAACTGTTTAGCAAAATTAATATATCTGATAATTTCATCTTGTTGGTATATCACTTGAATATCATTTAAGTTTTCGCAATGTAGATCTATGATTCTCTTAGCAATCGCATTATCGACGATTTCGTTACATTCGTCTAGCACTACAAAGAACAAATCAAATCTCGACATAATAGGTGCGGTTAACTGCACATTTTGCTGTAATGATTTTCTCCTGTCGTATCGTCCTCCAATGGGATTTGCCGCCGCTAGTATAGAAGTTCGTGCATTTAAAGTTGCTCTCACGCCAGCCTAGAAACATAATCTTTATTATATAAAGTATTCTACATTATATTATATAAATGTTACATACCTTAGTTATCGAAATTGTTTGCTGTTCCATAGCTTCGTGAATTGCGACCTGATCCTTCGGATCCATTTTATCGAATTCATCAATACAACAGATGCCATGATCCGCAAGCATCAATGCCCCAGCTTCTATAACAAAGTCTGAAGATTCCTCGTCTCGTACAACTGCAGCTGTTAAACCAGCTGCACTCGATGCCTTTCCAGACGTGTAAATTGCTCTGGGTGAGAGATCGGCTACACATTTAAGAAATTGTGATTTTGCGGTACTGGGATCACCAACGATGCAGACATTGATATCTCCTCTTAACGACGTGCCCTCCTCAGTAGTTTTCGCTACACCGCCAAAGAACATCAATGTTATCCCTTCTTAATCTCGTCGTTGCCGTGTATAGCAGGAAAGAGACTGGAAACTATATTTGTGTACAGATTTTTATCACGACTCATTTCATAAATGCGATTCCATTCCGCTTCTGTCATTCGTTTTTTCATTGCTTCTTGAGAAATTTCCTCCATTGTGTCTGTACCTCCAAACTGTAACAGTATAAAATTAATTGTGTGAATAAATATTTACTTCTTAAAGATAAAGATATATTTTATTCTGTGTGCTTGTTTCACTTACCCTTGCACTTGTATTGGTAATGCTACAGGCGAGAAATGCCATTTTATATGTAAGTTCTCTAACACCAAGTGCTTTAAGACCAGTTACACCCTCTCTCTGATCATTATTTCTGGTTTTTGGTCCAATTTCTGCTTTAGCACTCGGTAAAGTTAATGCTCCTACATCTGGTACTACTATAAGATTTCCTATAAAATCATACCTATAAAAAAATGATTTTATTAACTTACAATTTTCAAAATATATATGTTTAAAAATGTGTATATTTCTAAACGTACCTGTCACCAGCTTGCACTGTCTCAACTATCTCAGATCTCAGAATAACTTCAAGAGAACGAGGTATAGAGCCTCGAGGAAGTTCAGCCTGTGTTTCTTGAATCCTAACTTTTTGAAAGTCAACAAACACCGAATTATCCACATCCAATAAGAAACGGCGTCTGTTACTACATACTGGATTAGAACAGATTGTTGGGTTAGTAAACTAAAAATGATAAATCAAAATTAATTGGAAAGTCATGTTTTACATAATATACAGATTCATACATGTATATTTTCATTTTATACTTATGATATATACCTTAAATTGTTGTTCCACATTTTTTATGTATGCATTACAGTCCATACAAATAAATGTGCCAAGAATTAATTCTGGATGAACAGGATGTGTTCGTACCACTTGTCCAGATATACGACTCAAAGTACCCAACAGCGATGTATTCAACTCTCTTAATTTATGTCTAATAGGTACTTCAATGAAACTGATATAACATTCCTTATCCTTTTGTAAATTTCCCACATCCTTAACAAAGTTGCATACTGCCTGACATAAAAATGGATAAACTCTGAAACAAACAACCTTTATTTTTATTTCTCATAAATGAAAAAAAATAATATACTAATTATACAACCTGTAGTATTCTTCAATTATAGTTGTAGCAAGCATCTGATTAAATGCTTCTACATCATCAAAAGATACCTCTAGTGTACAGCGTTCTGGACTAACAAGTTCTTTAGCTGGTTCCAGATACTTAATGACTTCAAATTCCTTAAATCTACAATATTTTAATATATTAAAATAATATTTATATATTAATATTTAATACATTAAATTTTCAATGAAGAAAACAATATTATTGATTGTCAACTTTAGTTTGAATAAACTTGAATTTATTTCAGAATTTCTGTGATATTGAAAATAATCAACCTATACAAAATTACCTCTCCAGGAAATCTTGGAATAACTTTTGACACTTGACCCCGACTTCATCTCGTACGCGTGCTTGAGTAGCTTGTGAAGGAGCAGCATCCATTTCTTCGATGAATTATGCGAAAACACGTAACATATGTACAAAATATCTGGATAAATTAAAGCATCTAATCTCAAAAACAAGACCGATGAGAATTTGGCGGGAAGGCAAGCTTCAGGCTTGTTCTCAGAACCATAATGTTTCCATGTTTACGTTGCTGGAACTAGAACTGGAACTAGCACTTTTATAACCAATCACAAAAATATCTAGATTCTCTAGAATAAGTAGATCATTTATTCGTGTACCAGCAGTCGATGAAAGAAGAAATCGTAAAGTCACTTGTGATCGCTGAATTCTGAACCAGAGATCACAAGAAGATACCGACCGTAACAGTGTGCACTCTGGAGGAGAACTACGAATTAAAACGAAGCTATCGAACGAGAACCGCCATTTTGTCGGCCCTATCTATCGTTTGAATGAGACCGAAATTTTAATATTTTAGAATTATTTTTAATTAATTTAATGCATAATTTACAAATTTTGCATAAATAATTTATTTGACGACTGATTTTAATAAACTGACGTAAATTTTTATTCTGTCTATCTTTCTAAGTAGAGAGAATCGGTGTTTATTAATAACCATTATTAATAAACTTCAATACAATTTTAATCTTGTTTTTCTTCTTTCGCACAAAACATATTTTTCCGAACAATAAAAATATTTTGGACTCTAAACCGTTGAAAAGTCATCTGTAAATCTCCATATGACGAAACTTCGCCGTTTTGAATGAATAAAACGAAACGACAAAGGAAACTTAAATAAAGCAGAAGTTATTCGTCATGCAGAATTCGTCTCATGACTGTCTTCTCGGAGACAAAAGGAAAGTTCCTATAACTCTTCGCAATTCGCGTGAATGGCGCATATACGCGGTCTTGACACAGAAAATAGGGGGGAAAGCGTAGAAATCCCCGTGTAAAGAACAGAGACGGGAATAACGTCGCTCTACGCATTTCCTGGCCAGGACAAGACTTGGCTCTTAAGCGGGCGCGACGACACGCTATATAAATGGCACGCAAAATGCGTGTCGACGTTTTAGTCCTTTTTACGAAATAGAAGGAGGATGATCGTCGCCAAGAAAATCGGCATTGTCTGCCTGGTAACGACAGTTCCGAAACATCCAAATTATCGCGTTTCGCGACTTACAATGCGTTCGTACGAAATTAAGATGATATCAGTGTACAAATATCAGTGTATAAATATATCAGTCCGAAGAAAATAATACTGTGCATTTTATACTGTAAAATATACTATAAAATATAAGAAAGTTACATGATAAGTAAAAATCATACGATAACGAAAATGTGTTAATTAAATGGCGATTGTTAATTTAATGTTAAGTTAATGTTAATTTAATGTTTAAATGGCGATTATATTTCTATTATAAATTATGATTTTTTTTATATTTATATATTTTTTTACATTTATCGTTCATGCCATTTTACATACATTCTTTAACAGTATATCAATCGAGAAGTGAAGCTAATTAAGTTTTTAACAGCATGATTTCGTTTATCGCGATATGAGAATTCCGAAGTCGAAAATTCGGATAGTCTCGAAATTTGCTACCAGTGCCGTGAACTTGGCTCGTACATTTTCGCTCAGAGTGCTTAGGTGCATCGACCCTGCTCCTAAAATGAGTCTGGCATTGTGCCGTCGTAGCGGAACGGCATGGCGAGAATGTGACGTCGAAAGACGGACGCGAATACAACTGATAGATATATCCTTGCTTAAATGTAGGTGACACGCGTCTGCCTGACGAGTGCCATACTGACGACTAAGGCATCCTTGAATTTGACTAATGTATCGCGTCCGTGGCACAGTTATCTGCCAGCTGCAAATTCTGAGTTTTCGAAGCATCGGAATTATCAATACGACGATCATCATACGATCGGCAGCAATCTGGAGAAGCTCCAGGGCTCCGTGTCCAGAGATGCAGAGACAGAACGTCCTATGGGACTTCAGTCCGCGTCGACTTTGAGTAATCGCAGGCAGAAATCGCAGATAAGTCCTCAGAGGTATTAAAATATTCTTTTCTAAATTATATAAAAGTATCTAATAAATATATTTATACAAAGCGTAATTTACGTGCATCACGTTGTGTAAAATTTCAACGGAACTTCTTTATTAGTTTGAATTGATGAATTTTCTCTCGTCAAAAAGTTGAAAATTATTTATCGCAAATTTTTAATTTCCAGCAATAAATTTCTTAAGGAAATATTTAAGAAAAATTTATAAATGTAAAAATTATGTTAAAAGAAATTCAACTAAATTAAAGATTTTTGCAAATCCTGATAAGACGAGATTTCAAAATATATCAACTTACACATTTTGAGATAAAAAAATCTCGCTATATTTATTTTAGAAAAAAAGCATATAATACTATATTTTCTTCTTTGGCACTGGAAGATTCCCAACGGAGATTCACCGGGATGATATTTGGCTTTCGGCGAAAGTGCCAAGCACATCTCCGTCGCCTCCGCCGTCGACGACGATAACGACGACGACAATGTTATCGGGGCCTCGAAGTGTCCGGGAATATTACCACCACATACCTCAACAATTCGCGTATCAGGATATCCAAGTACTCGACGACAGATACCTGACGGAGGAGCTGGATAACGATAGATCACCGTATCATGGAAAAATTAAAACATATTACCGTCGCAGGCCGCAAGACATTACAGCAGCCATCAAAGCCCTCGATCGCTTCCTCAGTCATACTCTGAACGACGATAGCTATAACAGCAAAGTACATCCACCACCCAATCCAGTTCTAGCTCTCGTTCTGTCTCGATACGGACGTTACGTGCCCGGACCGCGAAACCCCCGTGTGTATGCAAATTTGGCGGTAAACAATATCCACAATATCCAACCCTTTGGCAAGTACAAGTACGAATACGACGAGGAACCGATTTATCCGGTAAGAAGATAGCGATCGTAAGAATATTAACAATTTGCGCCAGAAGATGCTAATGTAAGCAAAACTATGACAATAAAATGATGACGATTAACTTCAACCGACAAATTTTATTCTCAAAGCAGATATCTCAATATACAAACGATGTAATGATAGATGAGAGACTGTCGGAAAATACAGTGAGATGATCGACGGGCGAGTAAAATATTTCTTACATGTTGTCGTCATGCTCCGAGATTTTGAAATATATTCTAGAGAATTCTCCACATGCGTGATGAAATATGTAGTTGAAGACTGCTATTGCCCTTAAGCTATGATTGCATCTAAGTTATAATATTCCTAACTTCCAACTTTATCACGAATATGTATAAGTTACTTACATATCTAGTATTATCTTCATTCCTTTAAAAAGAAAAAATATAATATAATATATATTCTTGAAAAAAAAGAATTAAGTCTGATTACTATCCGATCCAAAAAAATAGAGATAAGTATATGTGAGAGGTAGTACAAATTAATACAACGATTCTGAATATAATACTCACGCCTTCTAGGCGTGGATCCGGCATTCAGACGTTTGTTTCTCTTCGATGCTCCAACTTATAAAAATATTCCCCTATTCCCCGCGCCGCCCACAATGTAATTTGTCCCATAGCCATTCACAAAGGCATAACGACGCCCATCAAGGCCCTCGGCCGCTTCCTGCGCGGGACCCTGAACGATCATAGCGACTCTCTCTCTCTCTC